GGCGACAGTTTTTGAAGCTGCATTTATATGTTTGCAGATTTTGTCATAAGCATTCTGTGTCACAGGTTTACCCAGATCCATTACACCACAAAATGTTTCCAGAGGTTCCAGACCTTGACCAATGCATCGCATAGCATAAACAATTCGTCTGTTTAATTCAGGAACATTTTTGTGTTCACCAATCAACTTTGAATTATTGAATTCTGTTTTAAAACTACACTTTTCACATTTCACAGTAAATTGTTGAAAATAATCCAAAGGGTTTTCTCTCAGAAATATTGACAGAATTACAGCACAATTTGCACATTACATTCTCTTTCAAAAATGTAAACAATATGTCTTTATCCATTAATAATATAGCCATGAAAACGATTCATAATGTCAGTATCACTTTCATTAAATAATGCATTGTTAAGCTTTTTCTCGGATGCACTTTCTACATGTTCAATTTGAGTATTATTGTCATCACCTGATGAAACCAAGCTTTTATCAGAAAGTTCAGATCTGATATTCGTGTAGCGGTTGCCGTGGAAGCGACGTTTTTTAGCTCGCTTCCCAGAAGCTCTTTTATTATTTGCCATCACAAATATAATATATAAATATACTTATTATTGCAGAAAAAAGACTAACGCATCAAAAATTCAATATACACCAAATAAATGCTGCTGCAAAACGTCAATACAACTTGCAGAATCAAACAACGTAGTAATAGCTTACGGAAACACGATGTAAACATTCAGAATAAGTATTAAGTTGAGTAGAATCATTGCTACTGATTGCTGACGAAATAAAAATAAGACTTGTAGGCTAGAATGTAGCAACACTCAGTTATATAACGGCTATGACAGCTGTGAGCAAATGACGTGTCCCTTTAAATGTTTATTTACATACGTGATGAAGGATTCTCGTGTCAGTGACCTTTACGTTTTTAATGATATCTCCTAAACTACACGGAATATTTAACACGGTTTTTTTTAAAGTGCGCAGAAATGTTCAAACTAAAACATATATGTTTTTCAAAAAATCGATATTTTTGAAGATTTAAAGGTCGTGAGACCCCTTAAAAGTGTGCATCCATACTGGTAAGTTATATTTTGAAAGATGTTTTGAAGTAATTTGAAAGCAAAATGTTAATAATGTTTTAACGGGGACTGGAGTTAAATCATCACGAAGAATAATATTACAATTGTAAAAGTAAAAATTAAAACATGTAATTATTGTCATTGATCGGAAATTAGTTGACTTTTCAAGGGGAACAAACCAACTCCCGTTCAATGATCAATAATTGATAAAAATACGTAAATATGAAAGTGTTTCGTCTTTACTCGAGTTGTAAGTTAAAGCCAAACCGGCAATTCTAGTCAGGCCAAATATTTCCGCGAATAGTGTTACTCAAAGAACTTATTCTCATGAAGCATTTTAGTCAATTCAATTTGGAGTAAAAAATCAATTACTGTAGAGAAATCCTGTAAAACTCGAGTAACCGTCCCCGACACTATCATCTTTATGTATTTGAGTACTATATATTTTGTAGAAATTAAACATTGGAAATTGTCATTATGAAATCGAAATCAAAGTAAAGTTGAAATAAACATAGAAGATTATAAAAAAGATAAATAATGCAAACTTTGCAAAAACAAATCAAAGAGAACATAAAAATATATAAAAAATAAAATAGAAAATAATATAAATAAGATCAGTGAATGTACATGAAGATATAAAGGCCAGAAAGGTATTAAGTAACTTACATTCTTTCTAGTGGGGGAGTTGGCAATGTGTTCTCTTCGTGTCTGACTCAGAAGTGTAGGGTGTCCGAAAATTCTTAGCGGCAGTAGGGGCTTTGAATTATATCAGTCGGTAAGACTTGGGTGAAGAAATTTATGGTAGTTATGGTAGTAATTTATGGTATTTACGGAAGAAATTTTTATCAATTATTGATCATTGAACGGGAGTTGGTTTGTTCCCCTTGAAAAGTCAACTAATTTCCGATCAATGACAATAATTACATGTTTTAATTTTTACTTTTACAATTGTAATATTATTCTTCGTGAGTGATTTAACTCCAGTCCCCGTTAAAACATTATTAACATTTTGCTTTCAAATTACTTCAAAACATCTTTCAAAATATAACTTACCAGTATGGATGCACACTTTTAAAATAATTCTACTTTAATTAAACTTAGGAGATAATATATATATTATACACACAAAAATTACCCTGCGTGCGTTTCTCTAGAGCAAATTTGAGTGAACTGACAGTTTGAAAGGTTGTTCACCTTTCGAAAGAAAAAATACCCAGCAAGTGACATTACCTATCTTTTCTTGCACGGATTTGGTTTGGTTTATTTAATTATGGCAAAACACGCGAGGGCTGCCTTCCTAAGATGGGGGGTTACCTTTATGGAGGACTTTCTAAGAGAAACTATCTCGAATCCATATAGCGCACCAGGAATTCGATAACAGCGCCCATGCAGCCAGCCCATTTGCCTGGAATCGAACCCACGTTGATTTGGTTTGGTTTGGTTATTTGATTATGGCAAAACACTCGAGAGCTATCTGCTTAGGGCGAGGGATACCTTTGTGGAAAACTTTCTAACGAGCCCAGTTAAACTAACAGTGTTTAGCGACTTTACCGCTTCGGCATTGATAGGCCTCTCTTGAATAGGAGCATTCAAGATAAAATTTGAATAAATGAATAAATAGTTTCAAAATTATCCTCACTGGCCATTTTTCAGAGTATTTAATGAGAAAAGAATATATATAAAACAACAAGATATTTTTCAGAATAATGATTTTGTCGAATTCATTTTTCTTCAGTGCTTCATATTGAGACGAATTATAGCATATACAGAGCCGGCACTAGGCATTTTGTCGCCGGGCGCAATCTTTGCAGATTCTACCGCCATTAAGTTCTGCTGCGCAGCGCGTGCCACGAATTAAAAAAAAAAATTGTTATCCTTAAATTTTGTTGCTCGATGGTTCACTAAATTCTAAAAGTTCTGCCGCCTGGTGCAGCCCCACCGATTTCACCGGCTCTGATGCCGGCCCTAATCATATGATCATCTATACGACTTAAGTTTAAAAAATATGATGCTAGTTTGTGCCATTACGCTTGTGAAGTGAAAGTGGTCCAAGAGAAATCTAAAAATTTTCTTTGAACAAGAAGAAAATTTTCATCTTTGAATTAAAAATTTCGACTATTTCTAACTGAAAGGTATTTAATCTTAAATGTGTTTAATTTAAAAGCTATCATAACAGATGAATACTTCTCTCTCCTTTGGTTAGCTACGTGATGAAACATCTTTCAGAAAGGTACTCTTTCATTTAAAAAACATGAAATAAGTGAATGTAGGGTGATATTATTCAGTTAAATTTCATAGTATTATCAAAAATACCTGGAAAAGTCTTTTTGAAAGAAACATCAGTTCTTTAATTTGCAGTCTTTCAGTCATTTGTTCAACGCAAACATTAGATATGAAGCTAAATAGTTTGAACAAATGAAATGATTGCATTTAGGTAACTTAATTTACTCTTTACTTATAAACAGGAAAATGCTTAAAGGGTCCTAGTGCCAATCGTACTCAGGAATCCAAAAGAAAACAGCGCCGTTAGGTATTCTTCATTTTCTATCTGTTGTATCAAAAATTCCAACAATGTTTAGCATTATTTTAAATCATAAGCCAGGTGGATACAGAGCTCAATGTCACGCCCACTGTCGTCTGCAATTTATGGAAACAGTGTCAGGACACTGGATCCTTATCAAAATACTTGGATCCACAACGACGAATAGGGATTGCTATTTGTCACTTTCAGTTCGGCGACACAGGACTACTACAGATTTACAGCTCTCACGTGAGCTGCATGCTGCCACTGAAAACCGAGTTTCACGGTCTACAGTTGCCCAAAGGCTTCATGCCTAGAGCCAGATTTTGACTTGATAAGGCCCTAAGCTATTTGAGGTATGGGGCCCTTTATAAGTCTGTTATAATTTATTTTAATACTATTTATACTATATTTTAATTTTTTTGGGGAGCCCCCAAGAAAGTGGGGCCCTAAGCTATAGCTTGTGTAGCTTATACATAAATCCGGCCCTGTGTATGCCAAAACACCCGTTGTTTGAGTCTCACGCACTGCAGCACACAAGAGAACGCGTTTAGCCTGATGCAGACAACATGGGTCTTGGACCAGACTTCAGTGGAGCACCGTGCTTTCCACAGATGAGTCGAGATTCACCCTGGGCACTGATTCTTGGAGTATCTGTGATCTGGAGAAAGTCTGGAACACGAGACCATCTCTCCCTCATAAAGGAAAAGGATTATTACGGTGGTAGTGGTAGAATGGTTTGAGGCAAGCATTATGTTGGACGGACGCATACCTCTGCATGTGTTTGAAAAAAGACTCTATGACTGCTAGAAAGGAGGTATAGAAAGGTGATCTTGGAGGCCTATATTCGGCGTTTCAGGGACGCAGCTGTTCCTAGATCCCTGTTAATGGACACCAACGCTCGTACACATAGGGTTCAGCTGATCGACAATTACTTGGAAAGTGAGGATATTCGCCGCATGGATTGGCCAGCTACATATTCTGACCTTAACCCTTTACAGTATAATTGGCAGGCTCTAGGGACGGCGGCAATACATAACTGCCTGGATGAAAGAGTGAGATCGACTGCCACCAGGAATGCTCAACTGCCTCCTGTCCAGTATGCCGTCACCCTGCGTGACCGGTTTGGCTGTGAAAAAGAAGCATACCCCATATTAGACTCATTTTTATTTCGATATCAGAAAACGCATTTTGGACATCCCTGCACTATGAGCTTTACTGATAATTTGCGTACATAAAATGACTTTTGAATGGTATATCTCTTTCTCTGTTACAGATTCATATTCATACCAAATTTTATTAAAATCTGTCCATTAGTGTTTCAGAAATTCGACATAATGCGCAAGTTCTCCTAATTTTGCACACAAGTGTAAGGGAAATTCATAGTTCTTACTTACCCTGGAGTATCATCTTGAACAGTCTGAAGCTCACTGGTTGACCACGACTTTTTGGAAGCATCTGAAACGACTGTTGTCCCTTCTCTTTTGACTCTACGCCGGAAGATTTTGCGGACAACACGAAACGGATGAAAACGCTTCCATTTAGCCTCTGAAATATACCAAATGCAAGCAATTAACAAACTAATGTATGGCATAAGCAAAATGTTTACGGAAGCTGATTAACTTAAAAGTTAATTACATCAGTTACGCTTATCTACATTTAAATGAAAATGTACTACTTGCTAACTTTCCGAATTAAAAATCGACATACTAATGAGGAATTTAGTTTATTTCACATATAAAAAGCAAACCGACGCTTTTACTGTATTTACCCCTGTTGTTAATACAATGAAAAAGCTAAGTTAGAGATCTGACCACGTAGATAAAACACAGTAACACAACACATAATTTAAACATTTCCACAGAAGAATTTAAATACAATTTGAAATAAATTTGGAGAATAAAAGCCATGTAATTACAAACCTTCACATATTTATATAATAATAGAACTAACAACTGCCGAAAACCCATGAACATTTCTGTGGAATTCTATCAGGACAATTTCAGTTACTTGCCCGCAGGTTTTTCTACAATAGATAGACAATAAAATTCTGATACACAGATTTGATAAAAATTTTCAATTTTTTTCCCTCTGATTTTTAAACATTTCCTTAAATTAAGTTTTATTACTAAAAAAGGAAGAAAGAATACAGTGCTTCCATAAAATGATTCCGCTAAATGAATACTTTTTTTACTTATTTTTTAAATACAAATCTAATACTTCCACAGCAGATCTAGATTTCAGGAAGCAAAACACATCACAGTTTTAACTTTAGAATTATTGTGAAATGAGGAACTGAATTATTTTTATTTCTATATTTAAAGATGGGAATTACAACAATTATGAACCAAAGTTCACTTTGCTCATTACTATGCAAACAAAAATATTTCATAAAACCGAAAAGTCGAGGTACGCATATATGTATGCTTGTACAACGTACATTAATACACATACGTATGCAACACAACCTACATTAATACACATACGTATACACACATGTGCAACGTACATTAGTACACATACATATGCATACGTAAGTGTATATCAACACAGGGTCTTCTTCAGAATCCTTAAATCGATAGAGTTTTATTCCAAATCTACGCCAAACTAAGATTGTTTGCTTAATTTTAAACTACTTCCCCAAATTTTAATTAACCACATTATTCTAAACATGAAGCAACATAGAGTTTATGCGTGTGTAAGTCAAGAGAAGTCACACTTCGTACTGATGACAAAAGCTTACATTTGTTACTAAAATTAGTCTTCAAGTTAAAAATCCATTATGGTTAAGCGTGACCATCATGGGCAATCTCCGTAATGTCCATGGCAGTCTGTTAAAGTTTGTTAAATTTCTCATTTAACAGACTTTCTGCAGGTTTCAGTACGTTTTCTCAGAAACGGATGCTTAAAGACACCTTTAACATGTAAGATGTTGAGAGAGCTCTAACAGTATCCTTATTCTGAGATGACAATATTATTAGAGCTCGTCGACCATCACTGATTGAAGCATGCAGGTGATAGAGGTGTATGAAAAAAACTTCCATGAAACAGTCTGAAGAAGACGTTCTAAAATGATTTTTTTCAGACATGGTGAAAATCAGAAGTGCATGTAATAAATACTTTCAGTGATAGAATTTATTATTTTGTTTAAGTTTCATATATACCCCTTGAAAATATGTGCTAGGAATGCAAATGTGGTAGTTATTCGTAAGTTAGGTATTGGGGTAAGTAAGAGAATGTATGCATAAAGCGGACCCACTGAGCTTAGGTGATTGAGGTCGCAGATGCCAGCACCAAGTCAAAAGGCGATACTTAAACTGAGTTATGGGCCTCTATGCTGAGAAGCATCGCATGTACGAGTACTCCTGGCGATGTATTTGTTTTGTGCAAAAAATGGCGTTTGATGAGCACAGCACGACCATTATGGCCTTGTAAGTTTAGAAAAATGTCTAATGAAAATGTGCGACATGTTGACATAGGTACTACATGTGGATAACACTTTGTTTCATCGGAAAATCTTTCAATGGCATTAACTTTTTGTTTCCTTCGAAGAAGACGACGAAAAAGTGACAACCGACAAGTAGTATGAAATTATGAGAAAATTTCGCATCTGTACCGGTTTTACGTAGTAACAGACAACAAATAATCCAGAAAATAGGTGTTACTGCAAACATATCTGAAGCTACACATCAACGGTTACTGATACAAAATTTGAATACGCATCGAGTCTGAAAACACAGTATCTCTAACATGGTGACAAAATCCAAAGAAACGAAAGCGGCATGCGATCTGATAGTAACTACTGGCACACACTTCGAATAGCTTAACAAAGTATTACAAATGAACAGCAGTGCTTCTTTTACTATTCGCATAGGAAGTTGGCAAATTCCCCCCCCCCCACAAAAAAAAAAATTTAAAATAAATAAATAAATAAATAAAATTCCACAAATATAGCACCACAATAGGAAGACACAACCATGCTAGAGGCGTTTTGTAGTTTTTTAATACCAAGTGCGCTATTCATATATTAGCTCAACTTTGAGTCAATAAACCGTAGGTGTTGTTAGTGGACAAAGCTCCCGCCCACAGGTCACTTCTGGTTTCCAAATTCCATAACAAGAATTCTTGTCCTTCAAACACGCGCTTCCTTAACCTAGCAACATGTGGCTTATTGCTAGGTTGAGCGATGCTTCGACTTAATGGTCTCTTTTTTTTAAGAGCAGATTAATTGAAAAAGGTAGCGTGGGCTATACTGAATATCTCATAGAATGAGCTTTAAAAGTACTCTGAAGTTCTTTACGAGTGCTGCCAGAAATGCATTGCTGCAAAAGACTCGTACTTCGAAGAATGAATAAGAATGTATGGATCTTACTACAGGTATGTGTACATATATATAAATAGCAGAATTCAAAATCTTTTTGGCCTGCCTTTCTTTTTTTATACTGCTCTGATATTAATAATTATATCTGATGTAGAAGCTATAAGAGAAAATAAAGATGATGTTTCAAATTATCCTTGGAATTTGCTAGCTATTGCATAACTACATATAGGTTACATTAATATATTACGGAAAAGGTAATCGAAACTTTAAATGTACTAAAGGTTTGCAAAATCTGAAATCATTAATTATGGAAACAAATGGTTTAATAATATTAATCAAAAACTACGTAATAATACGCATTCGAAATAAAGAGAAACAGCGAACGTTAACTATAAAACCAGGTAAAAAGATTTCCGTTTGATCGCACACCACAGTTTTAGATACACAATCGTCAACAAATATAAATAATCCCATATTAAAATTATAAGCAACAAAATGTTAATAAACTCAATAACTTGTAAGAACAAAGTTCAGTATACCTGTAGAGTCATTAGGATCTTTTTTTTTTCTTTTTCGAAAGCCGGAAAGATGAAAAATTAACAACGCCTTCGCCGGGAATCGAACCACGGACCTCTGGAATACCGGCCCAGCGTGCTACTGTTACACCACGAAGGCACGATAGGGAAGTGGGAGAAATACCTTATATACCATGGTAATTAAAGTGTTAGGGAGGTGAAAATTATACAAGAAGAAATGCCAACTAATTTGAATAAAGAGACAATTATGGATAAAGTTTCCTTTACCTCATAGGAACTGTTATTCCTACAGACATGGAAGATTTACATGTAATGAAATTCCTTAAAACTCATTACTGCGGTCAGAGGTAAATGCTAAAACTATTTGAAATATTGTGCACATAAGTTTAATTAACGTCAAAAAAGGAAAAAAAAAAAAAAAAAAAAGTGAAAGAAGCTGATATTTACTCAAGGATTAATATATATTAATAAAATAAGTAAAAGACTGAAAACTTTTGTCAGCACATATCGCATTTAAGATTCCACACCCCACATACAAAACAACTCACAGACTTTTTTTCCCTTCTTTCTAATCAAATGGCCGGATCCTTGCAACTTAATGTATTCTTCGGAAATGCCTAAACCCACCAGTCGTTTAGCCATCTATACTCATGTCCATAAATTAAGGATAATGCAAAATCAGGCAAAGGAAGAGTTAGAAGCAAAACCTATTTGACTTATTTGTAAAGGTTATTTATTAAAGAAAAGGTAAAGAGCAAAAAAAGATGCTATATGTTTGATATTATTAAAAAAATAACGATTTTTATTCCCTGGAGCAAATTAAAAAAAAAAAAACTATTTACAAAAAAACAATATTACATGGTTGGTATGATTGTTAATACATTGTATGTCTCCCAGACGATGCAATACAGTCCGTACAACGCCTAGGCATGCCGAGTATCAAATTATCGATCTGATCTTGGGGGATATTACACCACTCAAAAAGCAATGCTCTCCGAAGTTCCGGTAGACATGTTGGAGGAGGTTAAGGGGCTGCAACTCGTGGTCAAGCATGTCCCACACGTGCTCTACTGGATTCAAGTCCGGTGAGAATGCTGGCCAGTCCATACGGGTGATATCCTCTGATTGAAGGCATTCGCTTACGATGTTTGCACGGTGAGGACGGGCGTTGTCATCCATAAACACAAATTGTGCGCCCATGGCGCCCCGAAGCAAACGTACATGTTGTTCCAGAATGACGTCCCGATAGATTTGGCTTGTCATGGTTCCAATTTGAACATGCAGGTCAGCTCTGGAACCCAGAATAATTCCACCCCAAACGAGCACTCCTGCACCACCGTAACGGTGTCGTTCAATGATGTTTTCTTGGTAGTAACGGGTACCTGGAGCTCTCCATATAAACGTCCGGAGAGAATCAGACTGCAAGCTAAACCTGGACTCGTCGGAAAACATCACACAAGCCCACTGTTGCGGTGTCCACGATGCATGCTCTCTACTCCAGGCTAACCGCAGGCGACAGTGAGTTGCAGTAAGTGGAACGCATCTGACAGGTCTACGAGTATATAGACCAATCTGCCCTAAGCGTCTGTACACGGTCTGCCTTGAAATTGTCGTACCAGTGGCTGAAGAGAGCTGACGAGACAGGTCTGAGGCTGTGCTCCGCCTGTTTCTTTTGGCAGTAACTACCAAAT